CGCAGCTGCCCACCTCCGCGGCCCCTCTGCCCGCTCAGCGTGGCCTCTCCTCCTCCCCAGACATGATGGAGCGCGCCCTCATCAACACGTTCGTTGGGCATGACGTGGTGGAGCCCGGCAACTATGTGCAGATGTTCCCGTACCCGTGTTACACCCGGGACGAGTGAGTAACAGCCGGGTGGGCAGGGTGGGCAGGGGCAGGACCTTTCCTCCTCCCCTGCGCAGGCTGGGATGCTTCAGCTGGGAAGAGGGGGGGAGTTTGGGGACCTGAGGGCAATTGGTGACATCGGGAGCAGCGAGCAACCAGTTAAGCCCAGTTCCTTGGACCAGCAGGCTAGGCAAGCAGGGGTAGGGTTTTGTGCCCTGTTCATAGCTGGGGTGAGGAACTCGGGGCTGCAGGATGTCTTGGAGGCTGAACGTCTTGGGGAGAGACAGAAGAGAGTGGCCAATGGGTGGCACGTGGGTCTGTCGGGGGTCATTGAACACAGTGGTCTGGAGGAGGCCCCTGGAGAGGTCCCATGGCCACCAGCCCTCCTGGGCAGGGGGATGGGCACGGCCCTGTCCCCACCAGGGTAGGCAGGGTGCTGGGCTGAGCCCACGGCTGCTGCCCGCCTGCCTGCTGGGACCCGGCAGCCAGGACCACCAGATTGTCCTATGGGCTTGTTGGAGAAGCTCTTGCAGGGCACTAAGGGGCTGCTGGACTTTGGGGCTGGTTGTCCCCAGGCGGTGGGAGAGCCCCTCCCTGCCCTGTGCCCCAGGGTCTGCCCCGGTCTCTGCGGTGGTGCCACCATCCAGCTCTCCCCTCTCTTCCACTACCCCACCAGCTTCCTCTTCGTCATCGAGCACATGATGCCCCTCTGCATGGTGATCTCCTGGGTCTACTCGGTGGCCATGATGATCCAGCACATTGTGACGGAGAAGGAGCATCGCCTGAAGGAGGTGGGGATGGTGGGAGAGATCCCTGGGGAGGAGCTGGCATCTCTGAGCTCTTGAGCCCGCGCTGTGTCTGTGGGCACCTTCCCCATGCCTTCAGGCGCGTGAGCTGGGGCAGGCGCAGATCCCCCATCCCTGGGCTGAGCTGGTCCTGCTGAGTGTCCCTGGCATGAGATCTACTTGGCACCGGCAGGACCTGAGCCCGTTGGCAGCTTGGCACGGGGTGCTGTGGCCTCCCCGCAGCCCCCGGGGACCCCTCGGTGCTGCCTGTTGCCCTCCCAGCCGGAGGGATGCGCAGGGTAGGGGACAGCCCCGCTGAGCAGCGCTGGCCTCGCAGGTGATGAAGATGATGGGCTTGAACAACGCGGTGCATTGGGTGGCTTGGTTCATCACCGGCTTCGTCCAGCTCTCCATCTCGGTGACGGCGCTCACCGCCATCCTGAAGTACGGCAAGGTCCTGATGCACAGCGACGTCCTCATCATCTGGCTCTTTCTCGCCATCTACGCAGTGGCCACCATCATGTTCTGGTGAGCCACCCTGCTCCGTGGGGTGAGGGGGCATGGGCAGAGCCGGGGTCCTTGCGCCGTGGGGTGAGGGTGCTGGGGCTGTGTGGGCAAGTGCCGGTGGAGGGGCACAGGTCCCCCCAGCCAGCTGATTTGAGGGGTCAGTGTGTCACCTCAACACCACCAAAAGCAGACGGCGTGGGGAAGGCGCTGGTGGGATAGGATCCAAGGGGATGCTCTCCTCCCTGCAGCTTCCTGGTGTCGGTGCTCTACTCCAAGGCCAAGCTGGCCTCTGCCTGCGGCGGCATCATCTATTTCCTCAGCTACGTGCCCTACATGTACGTGGCCATCCGGGAGGAGGTGGCACATGACAAGATCACGGCCTTCGAGAAGTGCATCGCGGTGAGTTGGCTGCAGCTGCTGGGGAGGTGCTTGGCTCCACGTTTGCCCCGGGCACCCCATGTCAGTACGTAGGCTACCAAGCTGTCCCAAAGCCCTGGGCAAACCTTTGCCTGTATGAACCAACTCCCCATGGGGCTTTGGAGGCATCTCCAGAAGGTTTGGTGCCTCCCAGGGCAGGGAACATCTCCGCGGGGCTGGGTGGGGCAGCGCCGGCTAGGAATTCACCCCAACCTGTTCCTCCGGAGCTGGCCTGTCATCCCTGCTGACGTCCCCTTCCTTCCGCCTCTCGCAGTCCCTCATGTCCACCACGGCCTTCGGGCTGGGCTCCAAGTACTTTGCGCTGTACGAGGTGGCCGGTGTGGGCATCCAGTGGCACACCTTCAGCCAGTCGCCCGTGGAAGGTGACGACTTCAACCTCCTGCTGTCCATGATGATGCTGATTGTGGATGCTGTGGTGTACGGGGTGCTCACGTGGTACATTGAGGCCGTGCACCCAGGTACGTGCAGGCGGTGGGGCATGAGGGCACCTCTGATCTTATGGGAGCCTCCTACCTGGGGACCCTGCTGGTGCTCAGCCCTGGCATGGTGGGATTTGGCATGACGTGCCTTCAGGGTCCCCTGTCTGTGTCCTACTGGGGACATCTGCCCGCGTGCCCTGACCCACTGGTGACACCAGCAGGTTCCTTGGAGATCTTCAGTCACGTGGCTCGGTTCCCTGGCCAGCTGTGGCACTGCAAGGTGTTCACGGCTGGAGCACCGTTCCCCCTTATCGCCCACGTGGGGAGGGGTCTCCCCTGCTTCCTTTGCTTCAGGGTCCCCTGTCTGTGTCCTACTGGGGACATCTGCCCGCGTGCCCTGACCCACTGGTGACACCAGCAGGTTCCTTGGAGATCTTCAGTCACGTGGCTCGGTTCCCTGGCCAGCTGTGGCACTGCAAGGTGTTCACGGCTGGAGCACCGTTCCCCCTTATCGCCCACGTGGGGAGGGGTCTCCCCTGCTTCCTTTGCTTGCCTGGTAGAACCAAAGCGTGAGCCAGGCCCAGCCCAGAGGACTCTGCTGCCTTGCGCAGCCCAGCAGCGCTGCCTTGAGCCCAGCTGGCCGGGGCGCTTGCACCCCCCACCCTGCAGTGATGTCCCTGAGCTGGGGAAACCTCCATGGCTGCGCCCGTGCCGAGCTCTGCCCTGGCCCTGGGCTGCTGCTGCGCGGACACGGCTGCGGGGGTGCGCTGACTCCGCAGGGGCTGTGCTTGCAGGCATGTTCGG